GGATCTTGCTGCTCCCCTCCCCTGCTGTTCTGCTGCACTCCCCCAGTGCTTTGCCTCAGTGTGGCGGGATCAGATCGGGTGTAATTTGTGTGGGTTGTTATAAGAGCTGTAAGAGCCCCCAATAAAATGATTTGGGTGTAATTTGTGTGGGTTGTTATAAGAGCTGTAAGAGCCCCCAATAAAATGATTTGGAAAAAAAAAAAAGGAGGTAATCACCACAGTCCAATTTTGAATGCTTTTTGTTCTCATTATTAGCTATCCATTTTCCTCCAACCTCCCCTGTCGCAACCCTAAGAAACTGTTAGTATAGATACTGTCTCTGTAGATGTATCTGTCCATCTGTCTGTCTTGGTGAACTTCGGTTAGTAAAGTGTTAAGTAAATGCATCTTTCTTCCAGATAGGTTGTGCCGACTTACACTCAATCAACAATATGTTTAGTATTGGATCAGTTTAGTAACTTCTTAATTAGTGGTTGAGCTATAAAATGGTGGGTGGGGAAGTAAACCTGATATGTTGGGAAAAGTGCAACGGAAAATTCTCTTCCAGAAAGATTTTTATCCAAAAAAAAAAAAGATTTTTAATCCATTTATGCTTTTACCGCCAGTCTGCAAGTCTCCAGTTTCTGCCCTTACAATAACCCTGCTTATTTGACATGACAGTAAAAGATTTGGATTTTCATTTTAAATTTACAGGAAACTTAAATACAGATTTTCTGACGTAATGGCTGTTTTAGAAATGTTGAAGCTAAAAATGAAACAGATTTAATCATGCTAGTAAAACTCACTCCTTGTTTTTGATGTGTAGATATGCCTTCATGCCCTTAATAGATGATTCTGATGATGAAATTGAAGAATTCATGGTAACATCTGAAAATTTAAGTAAGTGATTTATTTTGTTTTTCTTACCATTGTTTTGTATTGTCACAGAAGTAATTGCTCCTTTTACCTATGATTTGGGAGGAGTTTCCTGGACAAAGTATTCAGAAAGCTCTACTATGCAATCACAAACAAACAAGTGATGAAATTTAAGCATGTATTTCCGGTTTGCCCCAAAAGTTTGTCTGAACCCGTCACTGCCTCTCAAGTGTGCAGAAATCGCAAGACGAGCAGTGCCTCCCGTCCCCTCCCTCTTTCACTGTTCTCCCTTTTCGTGCTTTTCTGACTCTGAGAGGCCTCAGAACCCACACCCACTCATGCTTTTCTGACTCTGAGAGGCCTCAGAACCCACACCCACTGCGTGCAGTGGATCCCAACCCACAGGGGCCCTTTATAGGGTTTCTGAGGCTATAAACCTTCCCCAGAGGAGACAGCCTCATCTTACTCTTAGAGTCGCTGGTGGGGTTGAACTGTGGACCCTGCAGTTAGTAGCCTAACACTGAACTGACAGTGCCACCAGGGCTCCTTACTCTTCAGAAAGGAAATGTGAAAAAGTCACAACTAAGCTACTAAAAGTGTGTTACAAATGTGCTTGACACAATGGATGGAGGTATGGATTGTGATGAGTTGTACGAACCGCCC